GCATAGGAAGCATGGACAAAGAAATAATAACAGCATTATTCCAAAGATCTAATCAGATACATTTTCTATGTCTATGCCCCTCCTCCTTGTGTGTGAGGAGGGCCTGACAAGGAGCTAGTGGCCTACACTTCTGGGAGTCATGCCACTTGGGAATGTGTCCTGGATGAGTTCCCCAAACACAATTGCTTTTTACCCTACAGGTCTTCTGGCCTGGAGTCGATGAGTAGCACACAAGCCCAAAGCCCACAATTTAGCCAGACAGAAAATGCTCATTTGCTTCTGCCCCTCCCTGAACATCTGCTTGCCTTTGATCAGAAGGCACGCTGGTCAATAGCAATATCACCAAAAGAAACATGAAATTCCCACCACTTTAAATTAATGGGCTTCATCTGAAGGGCCTTTCAAAAATATTTGTTTGGATTCATAATGACTTTCTGTTTATTTTCATGGCCCCTTGTCATTTTAAACAATAGCAAGTGGACTCAAAACAAAGGCCACTGTCCCCTCACTGTGTAAAGGTGGGATGATTGGGGCAGACCCTCAAAACTCACCCAGCAGAGCATCTATTGACACACACAGATCACTCCTCAATGAGAAAGGACTTCAGGGACAGTTGTCACTTCACAAGTCCAGAAGCCAGGATTCCAACACTGCATATCCCTGCCCTGTGTCATTTGTGATCTGTGACCCTGTCACTACACATTTGACTGTAAGCACCCTGGTAATGGCTTTTAGACATAGCCAGTACACTTTTCTGGATAAGGCATTGCTCATTTGTATACTCATGGGTGCTTATTTAAAAAAAGCACTTCTTTTCTCCAAAAAACTGAGCCATGAGCATAGTTTTTTTTTTTTTTTCTCCAGAAAGCCATGTCTATAAAAGTTGTTAGTGAGAGAACTCAGAATGAACTCACACATGCTTCATTGGTTGGTCTCTGAGGAAGATGTCAAAACCAGCCAAAGGTGCCTGTTATATACCAAAAAAAAAAAAAAATGTTTTCTATACCATAATTCCAAACTTCCTGCCACAACCAATTAGGCTATGGAATTACTTTCTGATTGTCATTTTATTATAAGTATTATCAACTTCTGCTGATGAGTTCATCTGTAACAGAAAATTAAACACAATAATGTCCACATTGTATTACCTTTATTAGCTATATTCAGTCTTAACTGAGGTTTGTGTAAAGCCCATGCCTCACCAATTGATACAGTTAATTTTGCTTACGTATTTTGGTACTCTAAGTAGAAAGAAAAGTTACAGATAATTGATTTGTGCTCTTTGAATTTTAACTGATCATAAAAATTGTGTGTGTGTGTGTGTGTGTGTGTGTGTGTGCTGCTGGGGATTGAACCTAGAGCCTTGCCCATGCTAGGTGTAGCATTCTACTACTGAAGATCAGGATAAAAATGAGCTGAAACAAAATACAAATCTAGATGTGTTTGGAGATTAAAATCCTAACCTTTATCTCATGTCATAGACATGAGTTGGAATCTTCCATTATTTAAAATCAAGTACACAACTAAGCTGTACAAAATATCTCAAGCTCTTATGAAACATAAGTAATTATGATTTGTTTCTCTAATAAACAAATAATCTAAAATTATTGATACAGGTCTCAAATGCTATAAGAAGAACTGGAATAAAACATAATGAAATGTAATGAACACTCCATCTTCTAACTCTACTTATGATTTTAACATATTCTTTCCTGTTGCCTTATAAACTTTGTTACGAACCCCCGGAGACAGGGCAAGACACTGTAGGAATATGTTTGATATATAGTTGGATTAAATAACAACCTAATATATCAAACATATCACACAGAGGCCTGCAGAAAAGGCATCCAGGTTTGACTGAGCTTGAGAATAGGCACAGCATTGAAGGCTACAGCTGCAGGGGGTGGTCACCATTGCAGCAACTTCCAAACCTGCCTCTGGAGCACAGGTCTGTCTGCAGGTGTGGAAACGGCGCCATTAGCAATATTGTCAGCACATGCACCAGCACGTCTGGGCATTCTCATTTTTCCCTTACCTCATCTTCCCAAGTGAACAGTGCATTCAATAGTGTATCATTTGTTCGTCATTCATATGTGGGAGATTCCAGGAAAAAGGAGATACTTAAAATTTAAGGGCCTGAGGTCAGAATATAACAGAATCATCTCACAAACCATGGATCATTTTTTTTTTTTTTAAACAGGCAACCTGAAGATGTGTGGTGAGCAGAGCAGTTGAAACAAAATTATTACCCCTTCCCCAAACTATCATTCAGAACAGTACAAATAATCCCTAGTTACAAAAGGAAGCCATGTTTGTGGGTGTGTGCCTGCGTGTGGTGGGGGTGGATAAAGTTATAGGAATAGGGCTGTAATAGCAATTGCTTTGAGTTGATAGTTTCTTTCAGTTTTACAGAAAATACCTATGTGGCAGGAACCTCTGGTTACCAGGAAAACATAGGCAGCAGACCATTCTAAAGTGTTCTAGAAGTACCAAGCACCCTTCCTAATGTTAAGGTGGGAGGCACTGAAGTAGGCACCTTCATGTAAGGGACTCAAATCATCAGTGATGTCAACTTCAACCTTTACTGAAGGATTCCTTGGCTTTCCTACAAAACCCTCACTGCTAATACAAAGTCCTCACTAGCTTACTTCAGCAGTCATTACTAATTTTTAAATGCTGTTATTTAAAAATATTGTTTCATGAAAATTTAAAACACAGAGCCCTCCATTATCCCAATTCCATTATAATTTCTTATCCATTCTCTACAGATCTCCTTCACATCCATTTTTAAAAATGGTTGTAATCATAATGAGTACACATATTTGCATGTTTTTCCTTTGACATCATTCCACATACATCATTTATATGTTTTAATACTTCAACATTTCTTACATCCTGCTTCTCATTGCTATAGACAAGGCTGCAAGGAACACCTCTCACACACACTTCTCTTGGATTCCCTCCTCAGGATAGGTTCCTGGAGTGTGGGATTAATGATTCAAAGGTTTGTGCACAATACAACAGCCCCTGAGGGATGAGATCAGCCTTCTTTTACAGTGGGGGGCAGACTAAAACTGCTGCTCAGAGCCCATGTGCGCCCCTCCCAGGTGCGTCATGGTGATTTGACCTTGAAAAGACCCTACATCTTGGTGCCTCTGATTCCTGGCAGACTCTTTGCAAGGCTCAGATGAGTTAACATATAAAGTACCTAGAAGATTGTCTGGCAAGAGACTTGTATTTGATCAGTGTCAGCTCCCCTCTCTATCAGGGATCTATAGAATAATGTTTATTTCAGTCATTTTCCTAGAATAATAATAAGACCTAGAAGTATGTTTTTGGTGATGATTATGGTGACGATGATGATGTAGTTATTACTTGCTGAGTTTCGTGGCATGTCAGGCACCGCATTCTTATATTAGCTCATTAATTGTTTCAACAACAATCCTATGGGGTAGGACTCTAGTAACTTGGTTCTTCCAGTCAAGAATCAAGAAGTAAATACATGAATAAAAAGAGCAAACCCAGGGACTAGAGACTGATAAGAGGTCAGAAGGACCCTGCATCAGGACAAAGCTAAATCTCTAGTGGAATCAAAGTGTCTACTGACATGACTTCAGTCATGAGGAGACATGGAGTTTTTCCCACTTATGGGAAGAGGTTGCTTATAATAAATTGGGTAAGGAAAAAGGGGAGAAAAATGTACCAGACCTCTAAATCCTAGCCAGTGGTTGATTCTTAAGTTTAAGGTACACATTTCATTCAGGATGAACTTGATTTATAAAGCAGAAACAAAGATGTAACCAGAAAATGGAATTGTCTCTATACCCATTCTTAGCTCTTCAGTTTGTAAGAAAAACTGACAATATCAGACAATCCAAGATACTCAGGTTAGAGACCAACAGAGAGGACCTTGGTAAACCCCCAAATCAGAAGTTAAAACACCTATGTTACATCTTGTTGACAAAAAGTTTAAATGCCTTCACTGAGTCTAGGAAGATGATCAAGAGATATGTCCTAAGAACTAGAGGGTTTTAAGTATGCTCCTAAGTTTAATGGCCTCATTATATCCCTTGTGTATTTTACACACAACATCAGTCCAGGAGCTGCTGCTGGGTGAGATGGTGCATTTCGGTGCTCTATAGTCTTACACAACAAGGCAGAATGAAATACCTAAGCCAGGGCATCAACTCTTCTTGTAGAAAAGAGCCAAATTTCATTTCCTAATGTATTGGGTCCTTGGAAAGGAGGAAAGTTACAGGTACCAGTAAAAAATTGTTTAAATGGGAAGAAAAAGAGGCCTCCTCTGTTTTCACCATCTTCCTGCTGAAGATAGTCAAGCTGGCTGGCTTTGCCCCAAGACTAGGTCACCATCCTTTCATTTTGGAAGTGTCCTCCTCCTGTTCAATCTAAAAGTATCTCTCTCCTTTAAATGACTATTTTTCTTAACACACACTCATGATCTTATGTTTTAAACATTTATCTTGATGACAAACATACATGGAAAAAACAAACCAGCCAACCCTAGTCCCTAGTACATACTGAAAAAGTATGTTAATAGGTTCTCTTTTGAGGTTCACAGTGTTCTCTGTGGATTCTAAGGAAAGGAGAGACCCAACACTGCTATTTCTCTGTAGAAGGCATAATGGAAACCAGAAAAATGAAACTGACAATCTCACATCCAGATCAGGAATGTTCAGGAACGTGCAGGAAGCGCCCACTGCCTGCTTTATAAATGGAACTAAGTCAAGATTATAAACGCCCTGATTCTTCCTCTGGATGCCCAGAGGTATTTTTCTGGGTGGTTAACCTGAAAGACTCCCCACTGTTTTTTTCCATACTCTGTAAAAAGATGCTGGGCAGGTGGAGCAAGTTTGCTACTTGCTAGTTTAACCCCGGGGAAGAAGACAAGCTCCCTGCTATACGTGGAGTTCCACGGGTCAGCCCCTAGAAGACCGACTGATATTAGACAAGTAACCAAGAAACTACAAAGCAACACTCACTTTAGGTTTTGCTCTTGGCTTCAGTTGCTCTAACTTCTTAGCAGCAGCCTCAATGGATGCTGCAGCCCCCAATAATTCCGTTTCTGCAATGACGGTTGGGTCTTCTGGATCCACCCACTCTGTTCCTAATATCAAAAAAAAAAAAAAAAGTAAAAGGTCATTCTTGATAGGTGCAGATGATGTCAGGGTATTGCCTTAATCACATACAGTATCTATATAGAGGCCCACCCCACCTATTATCTGCATTGCCCTAAGAGACCTTGTCTCTAGCTCTCATCTGGATGTAAACGGTAAGGGGAGGTAAGGTGATTTTCTGCCTCAGTTGTGTGTTTAGCCATAGAAGTGGTCATCAACAGCAGCTTCAGAGATCCAGATCTCATGGAACAAGGCTGGAGCCTTACCCTACCTTCTAACTTAGGAGACTTTAGACTTTAGACCACAGCAATTTGCATTCTCTTCTGGGAACACATGGGGAAAAGCCACTCTGCTCAATTCAAAGGAAGGGACATTGGTGAGAAAATCTTGCCCTGGGGAAATGATTACTTCTCTATAAACAAGAAGGGGTGTGCAAACAGGTACTCAGCACTGTTTTCTAAACACAGGTGTTTGTTTTTTAAATGAGAATAAATATCTTGAAGAATGAAAATAAATGGTGAATTTCTTAAGAACAGTGAGCAGTTCTGATGGACAATACCATTTAAGTAGAAGCACTTAATATAAAGACTGGAGAAAACACAAGTATCATGGAGAATGTTACTTTTAAAATATAACTCTAGGTGCATTTGTATAAATAGAACCTTGTATACTCCTGGCTGCATTTGCCAATGAAAGGCTAGGAGGTCTGGTATGTTGACCCTCTGCTCAGTGACTGTCTTAAGCACTGTCCCTGAGCCAGTCTGCAAGAGGAAGGAGAATCTGACCTACCTTTCATGGCTTCCGCTGCCTGGATGAGCTCAGTCACTGCACCTGCGACACGCTTGGAGAAAGCAGCCAGCTGCTGCTTGAGTTCTGGTGTTGGTTTCTGAAGAATCTATGAGTGAAGGACAAGTCAAGTGCATCAGAAGATGGCAACCGTGGTGACAGGAGGAGCTGTCATCGGAGGGTGTGCAGCCAGACATCCTGGTTTTCGTTGCCTATCTATCTCCTAGTGACAGCAGGGTATGGGGGGGGGGGGGTAAGCACTTAAGACTCACTGGGCTTTAGTTTCCTCAGATGAAAAGTGGGAAATGGAACCTGGAGTGTCTCTAAAGGTTCTTTTGATAGTTCTCAAAGATCACAAAAGGAGATGAAGTTCTTAGTCCTTTATTCATACTTTTATTTATATATAAAAAATATGTGCTCATGAAAATTGCCTAAAGAACATTCTGAGTGAACACAAGAGCCCCCCGCTAAGAGCCAGCTAGTACTTGAGACAAAGCAAACACTGGACTGGAGAAGATGTGCACTTGGGGAATCTTGCAGATAAAATCCCCGTGTGAACAACAGCTCATGGTTCAGGATGATCATTCTGGTACAAACAATCCATTTCCATGGTTTTGACCACAGACTTTCTTGGCAGAAGTCACGAGAATGTGCCCTCTTTTAACCTGTTTCAAAGGTTTTAAAGATTGTTTTATGCTTTTTGTTTTTTACGGTTTTGAAAAAGGTAGTAGAACCTTCAAACACCAATCCAACTTAAAAGACATTCTCAGCTGATTTCTTTTCAAATCCATCCAAGATTGGAAACAAGAAAATGAGATAGGATGAGAGCTCCTTACCATCTTTCACTACAGATTTAAATTCTGATATACACCATCTTGCTCCTTCCTAATTTTGAAATTGTCTTCCAACATTCTTTTCTACATCTCTTCCATGTTTCACAATGGGAATCTTCACATCCAGACACATGGAGACAGGAGAAAATTACAACTGTCTCTGGACGATCCTAGTGGAGCCTGATTAGGTGAATGATGATTAGGGCTCAGGGTCTGAGTAACAAAGCAGCACATAAACATCATCAAATGGTTTTTCTATAGTGGTCAACAGAACAGGAATAAGAGTTGTAGCCAAGGTGGGAACACTCGTACTTAATGGTGGAAGACTCAGTGTTTTCCCCTAAGATCAAGAATAAAGTAAGAATGTTTATTTTCACACTTCTACCAATATTGTACTGGAATTCCTAGCCAGTGCAATAGGCAAAAATAAATAAATAAATAAATAAATAAAAGAAGTAAAGGATACACACGGTGAGGGAGAAGTAATTTGTGTCCACAGAAGACACAAACATTTATCTACATAAGAAAAACAAACTTCTAGAACTAATAAGTGAGTTTAGCAAGGTCATAGAATATAACGTCAATATACATATAGAAATTTCATTTCTGTATGCTAGCAATAAAAAGTGAGAATTGAAAATGTTAAAAGCCAGTACCATTTATCTTAGCAAAAAAGTTATTAAATAGCTAGGATGAATTTTGATGACACACACACAAGACCCGAACACTGAAAACTACAAAATATTTCTCCATATTATTGAGAAATATTGAAGAAGGCCTAAAAACTGTGTTCATTGATCAGAAGACTTGATATTGTTAAGATGTCAATTCTCCCCAGATCAATCTACAGGTTCAACACAACCCCCAATTTTTATTTTTATTAATTTTTAAAAATAAAAATTGATAAGAGACAATATGATATCAGTATGTAGACATATAGATCAGGGGAGCAGCAAAGTCTAACTAGATTTATAATACGGACAACTCATTTTCAGTAAGTTGCTAAGGTACCTTGAATTCAAAGGGAACACAATTAATTTTTTTTCAAAAATGGTGCTAGAACAATATGAAAATGGATAATCTCAGGTAAAAAAGTGGACTTTTACTCATACCCCACATTATATGCATAAATTAACTAGAAATACATCATAAATATGAGAATATAAACATATATAGATTCTATATTAAAACTATATTAAATCTACATCATTCACCTACTCAGGCTCCACTAGGATTGTCCAGAGATAGTTATAATTTTCTCCTGTCTTCATGTGTTCTATATTAAACCTATATAGATTCTATATTTAAACTATATAGAAAATCATCATCATCATCATCTTAGTAATCTTGGAGTTGGTGAATATTTTAAATAGATAACTAAAAGCATATATTACAGAAGAAAAAAATCATAAATTGAACTTAGGGTTATCCACACAATGGAATGCTATTTAGTCATGAAAAGGAATTAATTACTGACATCTGCTACAATATGAATGGATTTTTAAAACCACTATGTGTAGTGAAAGAAACCAGTCACAAAAGACCACAAATTCTATGATTCCATTGATAAGAACAGTCCAGAACATGAAAATTAGTAGAGGCAGAAAGTAGATTAATGGAGATCTAGCACTAGGAGCAGAGTGGAGTGACTGCTAATGGCTGCAAGTTTTCTTCATGGGTGATGAAACTGTTCTAAAATCAAATTAGGATGACTGTTGCTTTTAGTTTTAGCTATTATAGTGGATGTGCCGCAATACCATTGCAATTTTAATTGACATTGTTATCTTCTTTAGTGAAATGTATATTGGGATCTTTCCCTATTTGGGGTTTTTCAGTTTTAATATCAAAGTCTTAGAATTCTCTATATTTTTTAGATTCAAATTCTTTATCAGATACATGCTCTACAAATAGCTTCTCCCAGGGTGTGGCTTGTCATTTCATTTTCATGATAATCTCTTGCAAGGATCAGGAAGACTAATGTGTATTATTAAAACAAAAAAAGAGACAATGATAGCACTTTAGAGCTGAGGGAAAATGTGCAGAAAGAACTTGGATAAACATGAAAGTAAAATCAAAATGCATCTTTTTAACTCAGATATTAAGCTATCATAATGAACGGATATTAATCGCTGGGATAAACTGAATGTTTCTGTTCCCACAAGTCATCAAATTATTTTTAGGATTATATTTCACTTCCTATTACTCTTTTATATTTAAGACCATATTGATTCTGGATTTCTCTTCTTTTAAGCAGCCCTAGTAAGAGATAATTTCATACAATGAAATTCATCCATTTAAAAGCAATGGATAAACACAGGAGGATACAGCCTTCCAATGGAAAACTGCTCAGCAATAAACGTAGCAAATTTTTGCTACACACAACAAATGAATGGAATTGAAACTACTGATGCAGAGTGAAAGAAGTAGAGAAAAAGGAGTAGATGAGATTCCATTTATAGAAAAGCCCAGAAAATGCAAACAAATCCATAACAATCAGAAACAGATCAGTGGTTGCAAGAATTTTGCAGGTTAATAAATATATTCATTATTTTAGTTGTGGTGAGGCTTCTACAGATGTATTCATATGTCCATGCTCAAACATATACTTTGCATGTCATTTATTATATATTAGTTATGCCCCACTACAGCTGGGAAAAAGTTACAGGTGTGGTGGAGAGAATCACTTATATCATCAAAGTGGAATGATTAAAACCTTCTGTCTCTAAAAGAAGAGCCCTTGAGGTAGAAAGTACCATTCTGTATACTACTCTAAGACAGGGAGCGGCCCTAAGTTACAGACAGGCAGGAGGAGAGGAATTCTATTTTTATTCTGTCATTAAGTCAACATGATCTCTAACAGCAGGCAACAGACAGACCCACATTAACATTTTCTGGTGGTGGAAGTAAATTTTAACCCTGTCAATGATCTCATTTTATGGTTTTGCAGAAATATTGAACTCTGAGGCAAAGCGGCTGCTTCTTGCCTGCAACATGAATCCTCTATGAGGAGCCAGCAACGTGAAGCTCTAAAGCCTACAGGGAAGCTTCCAGAGCAGATGATAATGTCTGCTGAAAAATAAATGGATTCTTTAAAAAAAAAAAAAAAAGAAAAGAAAAGGAAAAAAAAGGAAATTCTCTAGTAGGTAGTGATTCTAGATTTGCCAGAAGGTTCCAACAGAGTATTTGGGTCTGTGACCCTTCTTAACAGTTTAAGGAACATTCTGTGGGTCTGGATGTTTCTTTGATGAGGTTTTGTGGGAGGGTAGCAGGAAATACTCCAGGGCTTTCAGCTCAAAGGGGCCACAGGCCCACAAAAGGTTAAGAATGTTAAAATCATGATAGTCATTTTTTTTTTTACCTACATAGAGGGAAAGAGAGAATTGGAAGAAGACAAAATTCATGAATGTTTCTTTAAAACAAAGATCTAAAGCAAATATGACAATAATCTAATTAATGCTGGTAGGCAGTTAATTATAGATGGTGGGAACATGGATGCCGATACTGTTTTCTGTATTTTCAAGTCTTTTCCAAAGTATAACTAAAATATACAAACCAGCCAGAAAAGGTGAAGAATCCTTAACTCTAAGGTGTTTTATCTGAACAAGGTTAAGGCACGGGAAGCTCACCCATGTTTCATATACCTAAATTTAAGACAAGCCACAAAAGAAGGGCCCTGACCCTCTTTTGTGCCATCTAAAAATGACTTTGATTTAATCCTGCAGATTGTTGGTCGCTTTCTCCAAACCCTAATTTCTAGAGTTTTCTCTTTTCCTCTTTTGAAAAACAGTCCAAAACAGACACTCTCTGACCAAACTTCAGCTTTCAGAAATCTCACCTGTTCTCTTTGATTTGCTATAAACAAGAATCAATTTTTAAAACATTCCAGGAGGGCTATCTTAAAATATGTTATACTTCTGCTTTAGACTGAGCTAGCATAGTCATTTGGGCACACAGGTCTTTCTGGATCAAGGATTAGGATAAGAGGCGGGGTGTATGTATGGGCTGAACTTTCTGGTTGTGCCAATTGCTTTTCCCTTATCACCTGTAAATATTTAATCTAATTTTATTATTCTTTATTTATACCCTAGAGAATATTTCATAGAATTCTGATGTTTTTAAAACAGCAATTTGGCTTTCATTTTCCTACCCAGTAAGTAGGAAATTCCCTCTGAAAATTCAACACTGGTGTCCACGTCTGGCAGATCTCATGTTCCTCATTGCATTCTTGAGTTTCTACCTGGGTTCATTGGTCTTATAGCCTGAAAGTCTCTTGGTGTGGAACCATCTTTCTGGCTCTTGTCCTCAAAGTTAGCTCTGCTGAAGGAGTTAGGAGAATAATATGGGATGCAAACTTATTTTTAGCAGTAGACATCGACCAACATCAACAACTGAGGTTACAGAAATGTCATAGGGTTCTACGATTTTTAGTTAGGAAATTGAACTTTCTTGTATATTTATGATAACTCTTTGGAAATGAAGCCCTTCCTTCCTTCCTTCCTTCCTTCCTTCCTTCCTCCCTCCCTCCCTCCCTCCCTCCTTCCCTCCATGGGGATTGAACTCAGGGGCACTCAGCTACTGAACCACATCTCCAACCCTTTTTTGTTTTTATTTTGAGACAGGGTCTCTTCAAGTTGCTTAGGGTCTCTCTAAGTTGTTGAGACTGGCTTTGAACTCGTGATCCTCCTGCCTCACCCTCCCAAGCTGCTGGGATTATGGGTGCACCTATAATCCTGGCTGAAGGCTTGTTTCCTTACTATGTTTTTATTAGAAAATATCTTTCAGAGAATGTGACTAGCTTACGAAAGAGAATAAAAATCTATGAAACATAAATGCATGATGCTAAACCATTCACATCCTTGGAAGTCTGAGCCATTGGCACTTGTCACCTGAGGTACAAAAAAAAATTTCTCATTGCAGAAGATAAATTATTTATCTTATAAAATTAGTTTCATCATGGAGCTTTTCTTCCTATTCCCTTTAGCACAAGCTACCATAAACCTCTATGTCTACCATAATTACTATAGTGATAACAAACTGTATAGAATGATGAAAAGAAACTCAGGTGGTCAGCCTTCAACAAATACATTAACCACTTGACTCTAAGAGTCCTGTTTCTGGAGTAAATTCAAGGAATGATCCATGAGAAGAACATTAACCAAGGAAAACGTGAATAGTCATAAGAGACACATATCTGCCTATGGAAGCATAGTCTGTTCTTTCTGGGGCCCTGGGAAAGAAAGTACTGGTTTGTCCCCTTCCTGCTAACCTCTGGCCCCAGTGAACACCTCTCATGAAACCTCCAAATTACATGTGATGTTGGGTATTCCTGCAGCAAGTGCCCCTTCTTCCTGTTGATTATTGTTAGGGCCGAGGTCTGACAGTACTTAGGTGGCCTGAAAGCAGGGGTCTCTGTGGCCTGGGAATGGTTCCTGGACCTTTCCTAATGTTCCCTTCAACCTCTCCTAAGCCACAGAAGCTGGCCATCTGCCCAGTCCCTTGAAGATACACATGGAAAATCTGAGGACCCCTCATTTCATTGCACTCACCCACTCAAGCTGGAGTGGAAGGGAGAGGGGTGGTACATTGGCAGACACCACTGCGGTTCCCAGGTAGGGGACAGGGTTTATAGTGGGCACAAGATCAGGGAGGGAACCCCATCAGAGTTCCTTTTCCTAATCCCCTGGGAGAAACTTCTCCTTAAGAGAAGTGCTGGCACTTCCTATGAAGGGAGAATTCTTCTCCCCCAAATAAGCTTTACTTTTCCTGAAGGGTGAAGGGATTTCTTCGCTTCAGCACCACCCCAAAGGCTGGCAGGCTTGTGGCTTTTTGGGGAATAAAGCTGGACCCCATGCAGTGAATAAAGGTGGGAACAGTCAGTCTGGGGGCTGCATGTGTGGGGCCTGGGCCACAGATTCTGTGTAAGGGGCTGATCACAGACATAGGCACAGGTGAGCGAGAGAGCATGGCTCATCAGGAAATGGGACTGGGAAAAGTGGGGAAATGCAAAGAAGCAGATCCCTGGATCTCCTTCCTTCCCCCACAAGGAACAAGACAAAAATAGAAGCATGAGAGAAAGTAAAGAAGGAGAAATTCAAACCCCAACCTAGGACGCCCAGCCCCTCCCATCAGCCCAACACAGCGCCTTTCAGACAGTAGACTTCAGTGAAGCACCCAGCAAATGCTAGTGCAGCCACGTAGCCCTGGGTTTCCAGGCCTGCCTACTGAATCCTTCAAAAACTGCCTGTTTAACATCTGAGAAAACTGAAGCCCAGATATGTCAGTGACCACGCGGCTCTTTATGTGGCAAAACCAGGGTTTGAACTCAAGGCTTTGAAACCTACTGTTTCCACCACACTGTCTAGTTTTCAGTTATAACAAGGTTCTTTGTGACTCAAAACACACACAGTAAATGCCTCTTATCCACAGTTTTGCTTTCCACCAAGGTCAACCACGGTCTGAAAATATTAAATGGAAAATTCCAGTAATAAATAGTTTAAGTTTTAAATAACTTTTATAGATACTGTTATGATTGTTCAATTTTTAACTAGCTCTTGTTAATCTTTTACTTTGCTTAAAGTTAAACTTTTCTCATAGATAATTATGTATAAGAAAAAAACATAGTATATATATATAAAATTCAGAACAAACCATGGAACCTCTTAGAATGTACACTCTGAGGAGAAGGGTGACCACTGTGTAGCCTTCCATAAAGAAAAGAATGTCTTTTGGAAGTCTTGCTGGTTTTATTCTTTTTACCCTGAATTTCCTGGTGGGCTTCTCATGGGCTAAATACTTTCATTACATCCCAGCACATCTAATTTGCTTGGCAGCAGAGGCCCTGGCCTGTGAACACTGATGGGCTGAGATACTCTCTCCTTGGCCCAGAGTGTCTACACTGATTTCCATTTATGGAGATTCAGGCTGGAGTCCAAAGCGTATAATCCCAGTCTGGTTATTCTCCCCAGAAGATCTACCCAGTACTGACCACAGTGACCTGGATAAAGAACAACAATGATCTCTTAGAAGACCCAAGATGGTTAATATCAGAAGTGAATTCATTTTTAAGGAGAAGTCAATGAAATATTAGAATGAGCGCAAAGCTGGGAGTAACAAGAACTGGGATTAGGCCATCCCTGCTTAGCAGAGTGACCTCAACCTGGGACTAACTTCCATGAGTTGCAAATCATTTCTTTGGCCTGCTAGCTCACAAGCTATACAAGGGTAAAATGAGAAAAAGCAGAATGTCCAACAAACAAAAGGCCTGATGGTGGACCTCTGGTACAAGAATTATGTATCTGAAGGTGGCCTATTGAATCTTTTTTGTTTTTTGGTTTGGAAAGAACAGTGCGATTGTAGGTGGGAAGACATCATCAATTCTCTTCTGGGGGTCCTCCTAACTGCTGAACAAATCTCTTTGGTCTGTCCCAGCCTTTATATCATTGTAAATGTGGTTCCTAGGATTCGACAGAAACAAATACCCACTGTATTTCTTGGTTCTTTGTGTTTAGGACCTCATGGTCTGTGGGGAGTCAGGCCACCCTAGGAACTGGGAGTCTGCTGCACCCACCCAAAGCTCCTGTAAGGACAGTCCATAGTTATAATCATCATGCCTTTTGCCTGGTGTCTTCAATTTTCATCTTCTGAACTAGGTCCATGCTGGGCATACCTGGCTGGGGGAGTCACTTTCAGTGTGATTTAAGCCATTCATTCAAGGACAGGAGGAAGTCATGGGAGGTTAGCAGAACACTTGTGGCAATGGCCTTAGTCCCCTCTAGTTTATCACAGGGGCCAGGGTGATTTTTCAGAAGCTTCAACACCCTCCCAGGGTATGTGAGGTATGTGTTTGTAACAAAACCTCCTTACACATTTCAGGATGGCTGAGATACACTCATGGCTTCGTCCCTCTCTTCACATTCCTCTTCTATACTAGTTCTGCCTATTTGGTCCCAGATAGAGCCAGGCTCTCGCAGATTTTAACTGAGTCTTCCTGCAGACTGCACTTGCAAGCTCAGTGTGCTGGATCAGATTTTTCTACTCAGGCCAGACCCGACCTCATAAGAGGTGCCTGTCTGATGCTCCAAAAGGGATGATCCTGAAATAAGAACACAGCTTTCCCCTCACCCAGCCATGATGCACACCCCTCCTCACCACCAAGACATGCTCCAGAAGGTCCAGGTAGCCCAGGGTGCATTCCGTCCCGTACCGCAAGGCTCTAGATCGTACCTCCTCGCTGACGTCAGGGTGGAAGGATGCTTGCTAGAAACAGAAAGGAATGTTGAGGTCTTGAAGCCAGAAGAGCTGGCTGACAAGTCATCCACCCAGCAGAGCTGAGTAGTTCAGCAGGACACCTTGCTTGCTGCCTCTGACGCCTCCCCCAACTTGACTCCCCGGGTAGAAAAGAAGTTCCTCCTCTACCCTCTCTGCCTCCACTGCAGGTCCTCTGTCAGTCTGTGTGTTGACCCTGTAGTGTCAACAGATTGACAGAGGGCCATATGACAGAGATAACTGAACCCAATCCCCCTTTCTTTGCTTCCTTTGTTTTTTTAAATGAAAAGAATTCTATATACATGAAGATGTCCAGAAAAGATTCATAATAAGGCCTTCCAGCAGGAGACATACTGACCCCAGCTCAGCCTGGCCTCTTGTCAGCAGCTGCCTCTTGAAGGCCCCTTCTCTGTCCACAGGCTAATGAAGTCCAGGTTCTTACTCCTCCACCAACCACACCACAGTCACAGTGAGGTCTCCGTGACCACGGCCCTTGGGCTCCTGGGAAACTTCAGATAGCAGCTCCCCAGTGCCCTCAGGCACTGTAAATAACTCATCTCACATTATACAAATGCCGAGATAAGCAAACCAGAGCATATGGTGAACACAATATCTCATGCTTTTTTCTTGTACTGTGACCTGCCACCTTGAGTCATTCATGATATATCCATTCTGATTCATAGGGTTGTCGGATAATATGTACCCAGTTAAATCTATATTTCACATACACAAGGAAAACTTTTAGTACAAGTATGTTACACCCTTTTATTTGCTAAAACTGATAGCATCCTCACCCCCTTAGACATTTTCCCTGCTGCAGCTTCACTCTGAAAAAAACTTGGGGGCCTTACAGAAATAGTTAACACACTAAACTACAAGCAAGCAACAGAGAAATCACCCATCAGCATAAAAGGTCGAGGCTGAAGGGGAGCACTGACCAGCCTCCATGTTTTTTCCACTCAAACCCCTCTTCCTAGGGATGGTGGTGGGTGCAGGTGGGAACACTTGTGGGCTCGCTCCTGCTCTGAGCATCACCCTGGAGGAAGTGGCCAGCATTTGTCATTTGTGAGTTAGGTTTCACTCATCTAAAGTCTAACGGGCCTAGGATGCGGAAATTAGGAGCCCAGAGCTATGCCCTGAACACTCGTTTTGTTCATCCTGTACCCCTGAGCCTCTAATTGTGAGGCACAGAACCCATGCCTGTTTGAGGAGACAGCACTATGGGAAGACACAGGCTGCGATGCTCCTCAGTGTCACCTCCAGCAGGTTCTGCACAAGGCCCTCATCTAGGGTGTGGGAGAGGCAAGATCAAAGTACGCTTGCCTACTATGGTGACTGTGTAACTCAGCAGAACACTACAGGAGAACAATCTGGCAGTAATTAAAATGTCATACCATTTGACCCACTAATTCCACTTCTGGGAGTCTTGCCTAAGGAAATAACCCAAAGCACAGAAAAACCAGATATGCCTAAGAATGTTTATTATAGTAAAGTTCATGATAAAAATAAATGTAGACAACCTAAATATTTTATAATAGAGGAAAGAGAATATTTGCGAATGGAGTATATTGTATCCTTTAAAAAGTCTGTGATAATGACTCACAGCAACAGAGAAACAGCCACATCACATCAATTATAAGAGCAGACATAAAATTGTATCTAACATAAACATATACACATGAAAGCAAGACAGACAGAAACACACATGAGACTTGACTTTGGGATTGGGTAAGCCTGAGGACTTAGTGTAATCCTCCCATTCTGATAAGATGAGCCAGTCTGGAACTTGCTGTTCCCCCACATTTGCCCTGGTTACCCACTCAGCCCCAAGTTACTTGGATACTTAGATAGGGCAACTTGGCCCTCCATTCTGTGTGTTGGAGACTTTCTTCTTGATCTGCCACTCAGCAGCCTTGTTTTTCTGCATGTGACTTACTGCATGCATTCCCTTTTCTGGCAAGCTGCCTAATTCCTTTCTGCAAAGGGGTGAGGGAAGCAGGAGCCCAAAGGAATCACCATTGTTCATAAGTTTGCTAAAAAAGTCCTATCTTAATAGGTTTCTTGGGGGGCAGCAGTGGTACTTATTGTTAAGTCAGATTTTGGAATGTGAAGAAACATATGCTTCAGCATTCTGTGGGTTATTTTGTCCCGCAAATCCAAGATGGTTTGACCCCGGAAAAACTAAGGCTGGGCAGACAGTTTCCACCCTTTTCTACTTGACCTCGTCCCCTGGAAACAGGGGAACCTATGCAAGAGAAACTCAAAAATTTGAGTTGCATTCCATTTCTGCCTTAATTGTGGTCTTTTCTGTTCCTCTTTTCATGTCAGTAACATGGGGACAAAAATGCCTATCAATCATTAGCCCCAGGAACCTTGAGCATCACAGCTAGGCAGAACCAGAGTGGCCATGGAATCAGAGTGCTGGTTTCATCCTGGTTCTCACAGTGAAGAGCTGTGTGAGCTTAGTTATGTCATTTTGACTCTGAGTCCCTGTTTCACCATTTGACAAACTGGAATCATTAATTTTGCCCTTCTCATCTAGGATCAAATGAGAGAATAATATATAT